ATTTACATTATCGCATAATATCACGATATCCTGGAGATGAAAAATATTGGTAATGCATTAAATTCTTTCTCTATCTCTGACGAATATCCAGAAAGTTTACTTGCAGGTAGCTAAATTACTTATTCACTATTACAACTACATAATTTATGAATTTATAAACTAAACAAAGATTTGTACGTAGTTTTATATCCTACAACGGCAAAACGATAATAATGTATTATTTTCATTTAAATTTAAATTATATAATAACAAAACGAATTATATTTTATTATACTCGTGAGTCAACGTAAATATTATGACACTACAATTTTTTATTAATCTTCACATCGAATTACTTACGGAATATACAGATAGAAATAAAAATTATAATGCGAATATAGTCAATCAATGTTATACCATCTGATATTACAGGCGACAACATTAATAAATCTTTAAACATTCTTTTTTTTTACTTAAATACACAACCTCGTAAGGCAATAGCAATCGGTTAATTCTATCGACACTATCCCATCCTTACAGCAACGCATGCGCATAGAACGACGCTCTATTTCTATATAAACAACCGATTCGCAGAGTTGTAACCAGTTGTAGAACCGTCGCCCAACAAGCCGCCCGTTCACAAGCGCCGTGTTACAGTAAGTTAGCACTAACTATTAAATGAATTAACGAACTTCAACAAGGGTAAGACATGTGTCAAAAGTTTAGGGGTTGCGTAAACAAACTGGCTAGACAAATAGATAGCTGTTGTAGTGAGGATTTATTGGGTGATCGATATTGAACTACTGGGTTGTTAAATTCTGTAGAAGTTTTTTAAGATGTACAATTTCTTTTAACTACCTAATACCGTTAACTGTCCACTGCTGAACATAACCTCCTCCGTAAGGGAGGTGTTGCCAGTAGCTGGCACGCTTGGCAGGCGGGTTGGCAACCGCAGTTTGGCTTTTGGTGATATTTTAAGAAGGACGCTGCCGCCCATCACTCCATCATAAGAGGGAGACTTTGTACAAAAGTCGATTGCTTGGGTACCTCTGTCCCATTCGTGTTTCAACCGTGAAGCAGTTGTTTGCATGGCTGTGTTTCGGTTTGAAGGGTGGGATATGGCGTGAATTTACTGGGTACAGAGGAATAACACCTGAGTCCTCAGGAATGGCAACGCATGGGGGGTATCATGGGCGAAACTGTATACTCTGTTATGTCTATGGTACTGCTCATGTCTATAGGCGACGGTTACCACTTTACATCAGGTGGGCCGTCAGCTTGTTTGCCATTCTAAGTTGTATAAAAAAAAAAATTATAATCATGGTATTTATTTATCTATTTATTTATTTTAAAAAACCAACAGCACTTTACAAATAAAATAAACATTTTGTAACAGAGCAGTATGGCTAATAACAGGTTTTTCTAAATATATATATATTTATTTAAATTTCCCTTAGTATTATCCCTATCCTAATATTTTGATGTTGGCACTATATGGTTTCCTATTCCACTGATTCTTATCAGCCGTCGTACCTCGTTGCTCTTTTGCGCGTGTCATTTTTCACACAGGCCATCCATCTCTTCCTTGCTCGTCCCCTGCCTTTTCATCCATCCACGTTCGTATACAGTGCTCGTTTCTCTTTTAAAAATTGACTTTTATTCCTCCGCATGACATATCTTTAATAATAACAAAATACATGTAAAAAACTACCTCGGCGGTTTGGCGAAATATTTTTTTATGCAAATTAGAATGGCAAACAAGCTGACGGTCCACCTGATGGAAAGTGGTAACCGTCGCCTATAGACATGAGCAGTACCATGGACATAACAGAGTACACTGTTTCATATAAAATTGTGTATAATATTTAGGTTTTTATTAATAATATCAATATAATAATCTCTTTAATGTTTAATTCGCAGTGTGGCCCCGGCATAGAATAGGCCACCCCTTCCTTACCCCTTCCTTGAGCCAACGAACAAACAAGGGCACAACTCAAAGTACTCAGAGTTGAGCCAATTGAGAAAAAAACATTTTTTAATTTGGTCGGACCAGAAAACGAACCTATGATCTCATTTACAGATAGCAACATACCCACCACTGAATCTTTGAAGTCACCGGAATGGATGGCGGTAGTTATTTCTTTTTCAACCGACTTTAAAAAGAAGAACGTTCCCAATTCGGTTGTATTTTTGATGTTTGTTACCACATAACTCGTATCAGTTTAAACTAAACTAAACTAAAAGAAAATTTTCTTTTACTTTAGTTTTTAGATCAATATAACTTATTTGCGTAATAAATATTTATTAGTGATTCCTTTATAACTATAACTATTTATATTTATTTTGTCTTATAATTTCTATTTGAATTAATTAATTAATTATTTCTAATTAAAGTTAATATAAAATTCCTTAAATATTAATACTAATAATCAATATAACTGGTTTCAATTATAAAATTGAAGTCACTTTTTTATGGAACGCAGTCTCATTGTTCATTTCTATGCTAACATTATCCAAAACCACGTACCGGATCCTCCATCCTGAATTACATCCACGTGAAGCCAGGACGGATTGCTAGTATATAATAAGTATTAATTTGATTCAGAGCTCTCAAATAACAACTGGAATATAGTTAACCAATATTTTGTGCATATTAAACAGCCATTGATAAATAAGTTAGCTTGAATACCACAAATTGATGTTTACCACTACATGTCTGGCATAATAATAAACTTTTCAAATGTTTATAGAATTTTGGGGCGGTGATTATTAATTGAACAGAGGGGCTAGCTCGCTGGCCGCATACTGATGCGCCCCCGAGCCCGGCCGTCGACTGACGGCCGTCTTACATCAGGGGCCAACGGCATAAACGAATTAATATTTATAAAATAATAAGAATTCTGCAGTAAAAAGAGAGCTCGGTATTTTAGTGTATGGACAAAAAAAATTAAGCCAATACACGAGGCGGAATCGATATTATTAATATTCTTTTTCAAAACGGATGTATTAAGATCTTTTTTTTTTCTAATAGATAATAATGGTATGGTAACCCCGCCTGCGCTAACAGTATACGCTGGCGGAGCACCAGTTAGGGATGATAAATAAATAAATGGTGATGATAAAAAAGCAAGTCAGTTGGCCCATCGTGACGAATAGACTTGGAATTCAACACGATAGTTTCCAGGGGGGACCACATGGAGGTCGATCTGACAAGATATATTGCTAGCAATAGGACTAGTAGTCCGCATTACTAACAATCGCTTCCCGTCCAGTGTTTACAGGGTCGGCAACACGCATGTGACCGTTTACCATCAGACGGGCTGTATGCTTGTTTGCCACCGTGATATTGAATGAATACTTTAAGGGACTGTTCTGTTTTTTTTATACAATTTAGAATGGCAAACAAGCTGACAGCCCACCTGATGGAAAATGGTAACCGTCGCCTATAGACATGAGCAGTACCATGGAGATAACAGAGTATACTGTTTCGCCCATGATACCCTCCATGCTTTGCCATTCCTGAGGACTCAGGTGTTATTCCTCTGTACCCAGTAAATTCACGCTATATAATATCCCACCCTTCAAACCCAAACACAGCCACGCAAACACAACTGTTTCGCGGTTGAAACACGAATGGGACAGAGGTACCCAAGCAATCGACTTTTGTACAGTCTCCCTCTGGTCTTTTGTCAGTGGTACTGAACACTTTCTCCAAACAAACAACAAACATGAGTCAATAAATAACAAAAAAGTTGTAAATTGTTATTTGACAACGGTATCCACAGGAGGGAAGGAATTATTTGACATTTTAGTTGAAATCGATTCTAACATTGTATTATGTATTATTATTGTTTACCTATTTACTATAGTGGAATTAATCACAGAATTGACATTTGATGAAAAATAAATATAATCGTAATCTTTTATAGTTTTTTTTTTATTGATGGGTGAAAATGGTACGGTAACCCCGCCTGCGCTAACGGGATACGCTGGCGGAACACCAGTGAAGGGTGATTGATGAGAATGAAAACAGGCCAGTTAGCCCATCATGATGAATTCATCAGGAATTAACCGTAATAGTTTCCAGGGGGAACCGCGAGGAGGTCGACCTCGGTTGGATATATTGCTAGTAATGGGATTCTTAGTCTCCATTACTAAGAATGTCTTTTCCCCCCAATGTGTTGCCATATTTAATTGTTATGTAAATGAGTTTGTTTGTTTGTATCCCCTTGATACTTTAACCTCTCAACCGTTTATGCTCTTCATCCCCAGGACATCGTAAGAAGCGATTAAGAAAATAAGGTACTTCAAATGAGAAGGAAAATTTAAAATAAAACCCTACTCTAAACCTCTTACGCGTCGAGATAATAGTAAGCTAATATCCTCCGTTAATGGGAAGAGTTCCGTGTCCAATATTGGGACGTTAATACGAACAGGTTGCTATAGATAGATAGAATATAATTAACCCGTCACGCGGACAAAGTCGCGGGCACATAGCTGTGCCCGCGCGTGATATAAAAATCGTCATTATATCAGCTGCTAATTGTCCACTGCTGGACATAGGCCTCCTCCTTTGGGAAGTTTGCCAGTAGTTGCCACTCTTGGCAAGCTGGTTGAGAACCTCAGTTAGGCTTTGGTGACGTTTTATAAAGGACGGTGCTGCTCATCCCTCGACCGTTAAATTTATTCAGTCGCCTATACGATACCCATGGGAAGGAAAGGGTAGTCCTGGTAATATATATAAATACAACAATATAAAGTCAACATATTTCGAAAAACAATTCAAGGTTACAATGGGTCCTAGCGGCTCCATAACTAGCAATGTACCTTATCAGGTCAACCCCCACATGATTCTCTCTAGAAACCTTCATAGTTACTCCCTAATGAATTCGTCATGATGGGCCGACTGTCCTGTCTTCATACTCATCTATCATTCCGCACTGTTCCTCCACCAGTCTACAGTACCTAATAGCGCGGACAAGGATGCCAATACATTTTCAAGTCATAAAAAGAGTACTGACCTTCTGTTTGTCCAGCTGGTGCAAGATGTCGTCAACATCGCCCACGGCGACCGGCTGTGTTCGCAGCATCTCCTCATCTGCTGACACCCAGTCTTTGAGCTGCAACAATAATGCAAATTAGCTACCATATCCTCCTGGGGGGAAAGGGAACAATATTATCAACATTGCTACATTGGGTATCTTTTTCGTGATTTTCGTAAACGGAAAAAGCTCGTGATTGGGTATACGTGAAGGAAACTGTATAGGATTACAGAAAAAACATTTGATATTTGGGAAAAAAAATGTTAAAGACACACTGTATCCGTGGTAATCATGGTATTCATGAATATTACAGATAGTACTGAAGAATTCAGCATACCAGAAGACTAAGCTATTATATGTTCGTAACTCACCAGAGGGAGACTTTGTACAAAAGCCTTTTTCAAAAGTCTGTTCCATTCGTGTTTCTACCGTAAAGCCGTTGTTTACATGGCTGTGTTTCGGTTTGAAGGGTGGGATATGACAATGCATTTACAGGGTACAGTGGAATAACACGTGAATCCTCAGGAATGGCAACACATGGGGGGTATCATAGGTGAAACAGTATACTGTGTTATGTCCATGGTACTGCTCATGTCTATAGGCGACGGTTACCACTTTCCATCAGGTGGGCCGTCAGCTTGTTTGCCATTCTAAGTTGCATAAAAAAATAAACACTTCAATTCGTAATATCGCTATCTCTTAGTGAATAGTAGATATTATGAATGCAATGTCAAATAATATCGGAGTTAAATACAAATATAATTATGAAATAACGCAAAATATACAATGAAAAAAGTTCATTCCTGTTATGTTAGTAAGTAGGTACATTGGTGAAACAATATCACAATAAAAGTTAAAGTAAAGAACAAAGTGTTTTACTTTAAGAATATTTCTAATAAAAGTTTTTGTTCTTATTTAAATTACAGTATCTTTTAATTACAATAATTTAATAAAAGTTTCCATAAAATAAAAAGTAATTATTGAGTGTTCCGTTATCTTAAAAGTTAGAAGACTCTTATATAGGCCGTTTATAATAGATTCTATGTAAATAAAATAACATTAGACAGAATAAATTAAAAAAGGTTCGGGCTATGACATGTTACAAATCTCAGAATAAGAAATAAGCAAGCTTCAGCGGTCCTGACCTCTTTACACAATGACTTGAGTCGACAAAACCTTCCTACATTTCAACTGTATGTATCTATATATCCCTGAAAATTCTCATTCGAAACCCGTACTACATACGCCTTTTCAATAGAGACCTAAGCACGTACCTTTTTTTTTCTTCAATAGAAAAAGGCCCTCCTTTAGACCAGACACAATCTATTCAGATATCTTTATTAAAAATGTTTGAGGTTCGATCAATGACAATTCCTAAATCACACAGAGCGTATTTTGTTTTTATACAGATCCAATAGCCAATAGGGTTAGCACATGGTGATCGCTCAAAATGTTTTCAAATATATTTCTTTTGTGAAAATTATATATTTTGTTATTTGTAACGCCACATCACGCCACGAGATGTCGCTACTAGCCAGCCAAGCGTGCCGAACCAAACCCCCTCCAGACAGCCACCGCTACATGCCAAGCCATGCTTCAAGGGGCACTAAAGCCAAACCATATATACGAACGAAATGTCAAATATGTTGTCAGTCTATATTGTAAGACTACATCTAATAAAAAATTCTATATAAATGTTAAAACATGTAACACAATACTGTTTCTTTTATGCAACATAGAATAACAAACAAGTTGACAGCCCACATAATAAAAAGTGGTAACCGTCGTCTATAGACATAAGCAGTACCATGGATTATAACAGAGTATATTATTTAGCCCATGATACCACCCCCCCCCCCATGCGTTGCCATTCTTGAGGAGTCAGGTGTTATTCCTCTGCACCCTGTAAATTCACTGCCATATCCCACCCTTCAAACCGAAACACAGATATGCAAGCACAACTGCTGCAACGTTAGAAACACGAATGGGACAGAGGGGCCCAAGCAAACGACTTTAAGTACAAAGTCTGCCTCTGGTAATAAATAAACAATGAAAATCCCAAGCGTTTATCCGTCATTGTCCAAACACAAACTCTCATTATTGAAATCATAAAGTTATGCATACATGAGACGAGTTATAAAAATACAGGAAGCAAGAGATATATCTAAGGGTTCTCTCTGCCTACTCTTCAAGGGTCTTGGCGTAATGATATATAGATAGATAAATAGCAATGTACAAAATTTAAACGTTCTATACAACATTATATTTATAATCGTATCTTGTAAGAGTAATTGTTTTATGCGAAAGAATATCAAACGAGCATGTGGTTTACCTATACGTATTTCTGAATCAGTCATAATAAGCACTCGTTATTTGGTGAGTTTGAAATTAAATATATTATACAAATGTGGAATATATATATATATAGGATTACCAACATAAGATACAGCTAAACATTTCAATACAATACACTGGTAGTTAGATCTAACTGTTCTCACATTTATAGGCAACCACAGCATGCTTTGTGCTTGATAAACATTAAAATAGAATTAAATTATTAAATGCTATTAAATAAGTAAAAATATTAACAATATGAATAATAACAGAATATAAATAATGGAAATTGTAATGCAATTATTTTAAATTATAAATAAATATAATGCAATGGCGAGGTACATCAACATTTTAATTTAGCCATGAACACAGAGTGACTATCGTTGTGAATATCAAGTTCAATAATATATATATATATATATATATATATATATATATATATATATATATATATATATATATATATATATATATATATAATATCAGCTTACTTCGTTTGTAGAAAACAATTTCAATAAGGAAACATAGCGAGAAGCGTGCGGAGAAATGATTTTACCAAAGTACGTCGTTTACAGGGGTTAAGCTTCGGCGATTTCCGAATTGACTTTTTGCTATATTCGGGTCAGAAAGGCACGAAATGTGGTAAGATATATCAAGGAAAGGTGTGTTTAAAACATATAAAGTACATCAACGAGAATTTTGCAGTAATAATATCTTATGAATATCCAGAAAAAAAACAAATGGTAATATTATCATTTTCTACCACTCGAAATTAATATAATATTTATTATTTATAAATGTCACATGAGTACTATTTAATTTTGGTCAATCTTATTCAAGAAATCTTACACTTAGACCAGAGAGCCTACCATGAAATATTTTCTGAAATTTCGGGGACGAACGAAACAGAAATTTGATGTTAAAATTACATAATACATGCCGTTTCAAATTATTAAAAATGTTAAAATGTCGTTCCTCTGGACTATTAGGATAGGATTTATAATGAACGAAACGTTAAGCTCCATTTACTGGGTCGATATCCGTACGAACAAAAACACGAAATTGAGCCCGAAAATTCGATTTCATGGTGGAACACCAGGTTACAGTTTCTTTAACATTACCTTTCTTTGACATATAATAAATATAATAACAAACTTATTCTTTTGTAGTCCTCATCTAAGCCATTATCTGTCCACTGCTAAATATAGACCTTCCGCATAAAAGGGACGGTTCTAAGCTACCTGCATCCACTTTTTGATTGAAGTTTGACTTGAGCTATCTAATAATTAATTAAAATAACTCTTGGTGCTAGTGTGCGTTGACACAAATTTATAATAGCATAACAAATGTATAACAATATAACGATGTATGCAAGGACCTTGATATCTTCCAACAATCCTTGCAATGTTACATTAAGGCTGCCAATTTGTTACTTTAAATTTATAGCCGTCATTCTTTTAATGTATATAATATCGAATGTTATGCAGAGCAGTTGTCGGAGTGCAAATTTAATGCCGTTTTGTGTAATATTTATTTTATAAATGTATTAATTTGTAATCTGTTGCCTTGCTATAAATAAATAAATAAATAATACTAAAACCAACTTTTGTTGAAGAAAACAAAAGTACAGTTTCTTATTCGTTCTTCTCAGCTGAAATTGCATTCCGAAGGTATGGTGGATTCATAAAAAAATTACTATTTATAAATGATTGTAATTATAAATACCTTGTCGGATAAAATTTGGACACAAGGACTTTGTAAACCCTTTCTTTTCACATTCACTTACCCCATGCTTAATTGGGGGTCGGATTTCCTTATGATCCTTGTGATCCGCTACGACCTTCTATCCTGAGCACTTGAATTTCTTTTAAATTTGAAAATAGTTGGATTATCATATAATAAATAGAAAATAATTAGGGTTAAAAATTAAAACTGTCTTAGTGATGGCACCTACAATATATAATAAATTACCTAAATCCCTCACAGACATAGATGACATAAAAAAATATAAAACTAAACTGTATGAATACCTAGTAAACAGCACATACTATTCAATTAGTAAAGATAGATTTTTTTATTTTTTACTATAAAATTATTTTTATATAATTTTTCTTTTCTTATATAATTCATTATATGCAAATCCATTTGTCACAATTTAAAAAATATAAATAAAATTTAACCAACATGATATATATATCTCTTTAACATATTGCATTTTTGAAAATTATCTGATAGATACCGATCATTGATATTAAAAAGGATTTATTTACAATCAATTAGTTGACTAAAGGTTAAGTTTAAATTTGGTTTCAGAGATAACAGACACAGATTAAGCAATAACGCTAATTCACAAAAGGAGAGTCTTTCAGTAGATCAATGTAGATCAAAGGGAGCAAATTGGATAGTGGTCGCAGGTTAGGTCGTCCTCGTGTCGCCCCTCCCCCTGCGATTAACTGCCCAATTGAATGTCGTTACTGTTCGAATTCGAATGTCACTTGCTTGCACCCTGTCCTGTACTAAATTGACGACCTTCATAAACACAATTAGGGCGCAACTTGGAACAACTCAAAGGACACTGCTTGCTCTTATTTCTCTGTATAAGTTTTGGGATACATTTTGTTATGTTAATCAATAATTATATACGTAACACTATATAAAAGTCACCGCAACAAAAATTGTATAAAAGGAGATATTTTTTTATCTACTACTGAGGTGTTTATACCAAGAAGCAGTTGTGTTTGCATGGCTGTGTTTCAGTTTGAAGGGTGAGATATGGCGTGAATTTACAGGGTAAAGAGGAATAACACCTGAGTCCTCAGGAATGGCAACACATAAGGGGTATCATGGACGAAACAGTATACTGTGTTATGTCTATGGTACTGCTCATGTCTATAGGCGACGGTTACCACTTTCCATCAGGTGGGCCGTCAGCTTGTTTGCCATTCTAAGTTGTATAAAAAAAAAGGTAGCAGTCAAGCATACCGCCCACCTGATGGTAAGCGGTTACTGTAGCCTCTGAACACCTGCAATACCAGAGGTATTACGCGCGCGTTGAAGAAACGTTTTACCCCCCTTTTGAAGAACCTGATGCTGTAGCTTCTTGGGAAAACCTCGGCAGGGAATTCATTCCATAATCTGAGTGTTCGTCAATTTTATGGCGATTGAACTCACATTTTGTTCCGAATAGCCTGTTAGTCTATAGTTATGTTGCGGAAATATGTATCACTTGAGTGCTTGTTTATCGAGAGTGACTTCTGACTACCCCATTTCTAATGGCATTTCTTATTTATTAATTTATAAATTTACATTAAAATATTAAATAGTGATTGTAATGGGCACACACAATTAATTTAATTCATTTATTTATATTTATTTTTTTCTTTTGTCAATTAATCTCGCCGCTGGCAAAAGACAAACCTTTGGCCATAATAGTATATAAGTGTTTTGCCCTTTTGAGCGCAAAGCAATAAACTGAGTTGTGGCCATTTTGTGTTACTGTGGTACACTCACGAAAATTTATGTTACCTCTTTTATGCTTTTTCCTTATGTTTTTGTTTTGATATAAAAAATTATTCTTTTATTTCTTCTTTTGAGTATGTACCAATATCTGATGTTATATATCTGTCTATCTGTCTATCTATCTAGTTATAATATTTTTATTTGAAAACAAATATGTTTTTTTTATATGTATTCAGTTAAAAAATAGTACATCAGAAATCTCACAAATTATATTTCATCTTTGATAATCTATGAAAATAGATAAAGCAAGATGTGTGTGCAAAGCTAAGGACTTTTGTTAGTTCAGTAAAATTTATTAAAAAAAACAGCTTGTAAATCGAACCGCTAGGACAGACAGTAATATCAAGCGTATCGTTTACAAGTAATGCAAGTGAGAACACAACGCTATACGCTGTGAACGAGTGAACATAACGTTAAATCTATACGACTCCATCGTATCTTCATATAACGATAGCCTTTGCCCATTTTTTAACCGACTTTAAAAAGAAGGAGTTTTATGTTTGTTAACTCATAATTCGTCAGTTACAAACCGATTTGGAAAATTCTTATTTTATCTAAAAAAATATACAGTTTGATCCTATAGAAATTGTATCAAAAACTTATGGTTCTTAAGGGTCCAAGGACGACTATTTCTTCTCTTTAATCTACTGGTAAACAAGGGTCCTATAAAGTTGATACAAATATTATAAAGGATAAATAAAAAAAAATGTTTTGATATATGTCTCTCAATTGCCCTTAAAAAAATTGAACGGATAGTATTAAAATTTGATACACAGATAGATTATATCCTACGTTAAAATATAGGAATACTTTTATCCTAATTAACTTGGTAAAGTCAAGGGTTTTTATTGTATATTGCGAAGTTGGGTACGCGACAAGTGAACACAGAGGTCGGTTACACACTGCTTTCATAAACAAGGTCAATTGACTTATAAAGGTGGACGTAGCCACCCGTACATGCTTAATACTACCCACATATCTAACAGTTTTACAATGACCATTCAAGGTTAACACTATCACATATCATCATCACCATCACCATTTCAGCCAATTAGGAGAAGCCTAAGTCCAGCAATGGAAATAGAACGACACCCCACTAGATGGAGTGACGACCTCAAATGCATTGCAGGGAGTCAGTGGATGCTGGTGGTTCAGAACCATTCCTTATGACGGTCTATGGGGAAGACCTGAGATCGTCACTCCATCTGGTAGAGTCGTCCTATACTGCGTTATATACACTGTAACATATACTTATAAATAATAATAAGTAATAACTAATAGGGTACCCTACTAATAGAATGTGCATGCCTCTACGCAATACGCAAAATACCAGAGGAAGACTTTGTACAAAAGTTGATTGCTTGGGTACCTCTGTCCAATTCGTGTTTCAACCGTGAAGCAGTTGTGTTTGCATAGCTGTGTTTCGGTTTAAAGGGTGGGATATGGCGTGAATTTACAGGGTACAGATGAATAACACCTGAGTCCTCAGGAATGGCAACGCATGGGGAGTATCATGGGCGAAACAGTATACTCTGTTATGTTCATGGTACTGCTCATGTCTATAGGCGACGGTTACCACTTTCTATCAGGTGAGCCGTCAGCTTGTTTGCCATTGTAAGTTGTATAAAAAAAAATTACGAAATGAATGAAAGAATAAGTAATATATGCCTTTTGCTACTAAACACCTAAAGGAATAATCCGGATATGAGTCATAACAAAATTACACGTTTTCGTATCGATAGCTCGCGTCAAATCGCTCGGAAGAGATAAATGCTCCGCGAACTTTTCCAACAGAGGAATTTCGCAATGCTTTTAAAACAGTAATTGTGTCAGTCGGATGGCGACAACTTTAGGATCGCACCATTAACGACAAATGCCAAAGTACGGGAAGTCGCCGATTTTATTTTTCAGCGTCTAAAAATAAAATGAACGTGTGCACGCTTGAATTGCTTGTGCAAACATTGTCTTATACAAATCTTAAACAGACCGCTTTCTTTACATCTCCAAAACATTGTCGAAAATCATCAAAATTTTTTGTTTGTCATTCCATGTTGTATAAATAAATAATACTAATAATGGGATGAATTTACAGGGTTTTTTTTTACAACACAGGGGGCAAACGAGCATGCGGCTCACCTGATGGTAAGTGACTACCGCCGCCCATGGTCACCCACAACACCTACGGCATTGCAGGTGTGCTGCCGGCCTTTTAAAAAGGAATATGCTCTTTTCTTGAAGGTTATGTACAGAGGAATAACACCTAAGTCTTCTGAAATGGCAACGCATGGGAAATATCATGGACGAAACATCTCTCTGTCTCTCTCTGTCTGACTCGTTATAGTAAGACTAGTTAGACTCTGTTATGTCCGTGGTACTGCTCATGTTTATAGGCGACGGTTATCACTTTCCGCATTCATCAGGTGGGCCGTCAGCTTGTTTGCCATTCTAAGTTGTATAAAAAAAATATCAAATCATTAGACCAGCGTAGAAAGAAGGGTATCAATGCTCAGCGGTAAGATGGTAATATTATTGTAGGTACCTGCAGTACGGTAGTGTCGAAGCTGGCGAGCAGAGCGGCGGCCGACTGCTGAGACGAGCGGCGCCGCCCTGACAAACGTGCGCTCCAATCTGCAACAAGAGTGAACACTTTGTAATGGGAAGCATGGGGTCTAACCGTATATCTCATCTTATAACTTAATAGCATTCGAACGTAGCTTAAAAAAATAATTTTTAAAACTTGTCCACGATTGATGAAGAAGTCGGTGAGCATGGTATCAAAAAACATGTACAGTAGAACATAGAACCTGCTCAGTACTTGAAATTAGTCAAAAAGACTACACAAAGCTGACACAGGCCAACCGTTGAGGGTAGAACACTATTTTTTCCGTTAATCGCATTCACAAGTCATATTGTCCCTGTGTACCCTCAGACTGATATGGTCACATCTCATGCTTTTATAAAGTGAAATATAGGGTATATTTCTCTCAGGTATCAGGTCGACCATATATGGTCTTACTTATAAACCATATAATAGTTAATTCCTGGTGAATTTGTCAAGGTGAATCAACTGTCCTGATTTCATCCTCACATATCATTGATGTCTAGTACTTTTCTAACGTAAACTAATAGCGGAGGCGAGGTTACTATTCTATTTTTATCCTATTACAAATACATTGAACAATACAATATTTTATTTCTCCAATTGATTGCGCCGAGAGAAACAGAAATGTAAACAAACCGTTAATACCTTAAAAGGGCGCACGCAATCAGGATTAAAACAATAATAACAATTTGTTAAATACACAAATAAATAAATTCACAACACCACTAAGAATTTATTGTTCTATTGTTTGACTGTTGAATCTTATTGTTCGTAAAAAGAACAAAAGAAATGTTCAAGATATTGAACAGTACAATGGCGGAGTTAACAAGTTAATATATCCTAATAATGGAATTAAAAAATTTACAGTTCGAAATATTATATTTTTAATACAATAAATATACAAACAAAATTAAAGTTTCATCCCCATCATCTGGACGACTACTTACGATACGTTTTTTGCGACTTTCCTAGCACAACCATTCTTGTAGTAATCACTGTATAAGAAATTGTATACCCGACTTTTAGCTACAATAAAGTTATTATTATATTATTATTATTATTATATTATATTATAATTAACAATTTACAGTTCGACAAAATTATACTTTTAGTTTTTTTCCAAAAAAACCATACAAACGTACAAATATTTATCTAATACGCAGTCATACAATAAGTGACAAAGTGCAACATCTGTATGTTCTCCTGAACACAGATAAAAGTGTATTGCTGGACTAATGTAAGTAAAATAAAATGGAAAATATAAAGGTTATGGAATATTAAATTGCCTCTAAGGACAACAAATTAAATTAATAATAAATTCATTTTAACAATGCATTTTTGATATTTTTTTTTATAACACAGTGGACAAACGAGCATGCGACTCACTTTATAGTAAGTGATTGTGCATGGAATAAAGTGCCTTAAAAAACGCACGGTGAGAGACCGCTACTCATCCAGATGGTTGGGATGGAACTTTAATTTGTGGCGGATTGTACGATGACGAAATTCAACAACAGGTTATCAATCTAAACAATTTCTCAGAACAGTTCTCATGACATATTCTATGAAAGTTGCATAGAGACGTAACGCAGTTACAATGGCTCGAGTCGGATAGTAAAGCGTTAATCATCAATAATTCGAGCTACCTAACTTTGGTTTATAGTTTTTTTTATTTTTTTATATAAGCTAATAGCTATAAGCAGGTACCTACGATGCAGTTACGTAAAAGATAAATTAGATATAAATAAAATTTTGATTATTTTTTGTATTCTTAAATTTGTTTTTTTTTTTTCACAACAAATAAGTTTGCAGAGTACAAAAAAAAAGCGGCAACTTCAATCAACAAAAATGGAAGTAAATCCTATCAATTGATTAATTATCAAAATCGATTTATTAATGGCATCGCAATTACATAACATAGCTATAAAAAATTAAAATGAATTGAAACAATTCTCCTTCTCGAAGTTATTTAAAAATAAACAAGAACCTTCGTTAATACAAATGAAACTTTCCCTAGTAGACAGAAAAAATAATTTAAAAGCTCCAATCGATTCGTGTACAGAAAAGTGCAATCGCAAAGACTTCACGAGCGTCATTTCTGTGGGCGGACACCGGCGCCCGGAACTGAGAGTCGGCCGAACTTCGTTGCCTGCCCGAACGATTGATAGCGACAGCAGGTCAATTTCCCGGCCATCAGCCACACTACGGCAATATCCGACAGCCGACAGCCGACGCTTGCCATGAATAATACACATCGCCTGATTGTGGGACTGTAAATTGGTCGGTTCTGTTACCAAGATTGCGTACGGACTACACCCAGGAGCCTAGAGGTCAAGAAGGAAGAATCACGACGCATAGAGGCGTACAATTTTATACGTCGTGTTTTTGTCACATTTATTTTCTTTTTTAACTTTTCTCATTTTAAAACACTATAAAAGGCAATGGCATTGATTCATGCATAAAGCAAATAATTCAAAAGAACAAACAGGTATCCTTTAAAGTTTTAAAATAACTTTAAAGTTCAAAGTTTTAAAGTCTGTCATTATCTTAATTGTCTTGTATAAATCCTAATGAATTTATTTATTTAGTCATGATTTGTAAAAATAACTTCTTTATATAAACTTACAGGTAAACAGTTGTCTGTACTTCTAGAAAGCCTATGTTAATTTTAGCTCAGCCTAGTGTAGGATTCGGTGTTAAACTTTGTGCTTATACAAACATACATGTACTAAATACATTTTTTACTTTTTGTTACTTTTTTTTGTACGTGTATCAAACTGGACTATTCCAATTCTTAAATGGCAAAAAAATAACACAAAAATTATATTTTCCTTCTATTCCTTTTAATTTCCATTTTTTTTAACTTAAAATCATTTGGCACATTTTACATACGACTACATTGATTCGCCAACATACGTTTTTAAAACCAGATGATTTGTTTTTCTTTCAAATATATGTTGCATATACTGCAGCGTGTATTATATAGCGGCTAGACCAACTTTAATATACAGAATGTCAATTTTGCTTGATTTACTGGTAAGATATTAAATCTATTCTCTAGTGCCAGTCAGTAACAAGCGTTACAATAACAATAAAATATTGTTTACCAGCAAACGAAAAAGAGAAAATTGGACACGCAAAGATTTGTGGATCCCTTGAGAAATTGACAAAGGAAAACGTTTAGGTACATACGTGATATTTTCCGAATCGATGGAACCTTTCCGATTTATTGTACTACACCGCAAGTTCCGCCACCGACTCGGGAGTCGAGAGACTGAAGTTTATGGAAACGAAGAGCTCAATGGAAGTTCTTGTATCGTGAAACTTGTACATGAAATGTTACTTCGATGTTAAAGTTGCTTAGTTTGGGCTTTAAACATGTTAACGCTGCCCAGTTTGTTACCAGTACACACATATTTTTTTAATTTGTTTTCATTCAGTAGCTTTTCAAATTGGCAGTATTTCTTATGTCATACAATAATTAACTTCGTTGATAAAACCGTGAATTGATTTTGATGATTCATTTACTCGTGTTGTATGAGATTAATGCAAGTTTAAAATTATAGATTCAATTTTTTTATTAAATTAACGTAGGTGTTTTTACTCCTGTAAGATGTATATTTTCTAAAACATTTCATTTTTCAAACAACTTCAAAAAGCAGAAGGTTCTCAATTCGTTCTTTCTCAAGGTTTTCGATCGAAATAGATTTTTTTTTGTAGAATGCAATTTAATTAGTTATTTAACAGTATCTTAACTGTGAAAGCACTATAGACTAAAAGTATACTAATATTATGCAGACGAAATTTTCAATTGTTTATTTATAACTCAAAACCTTCTCAGCCGATTTTATAATTATACTCGTGCTTCGTCCTCTAGATTAGTAACCTGTAAACTTAAGAAATATATAATGTAGTTACACGTAAGTGATACCACTTTCCACTGAAATATGTAGTCACTAGTAGTAGGTAAGTTCGTTAAATGTTGAAAAAAAATGTGTTCGTGCCATCTGTGGTATCCCACCTTGGAAATCATGTCGGCCTTTATTCAAAAAACTTCGCCTTCTTTCCTTACCATGTATGTACATATATGAAATAGCAGTATTTGTTAAAAAATATTTTAGCAAATTTACTACTGCTGTACAACAATACCCAAAAAATACGAGACAGTCAAATAGATTAGTTTTAAATTGTATTCCAAAAACAGCAGTCTATCAAAAAAATTTTTATTATATGTGTACGAAACTGTATAATGCAATCCCTAAAGAATTTAAAGAATTAGGTCTTAAACAATTCAAACAAACCTTGTTGAAATGGCTCTTACAAAATTGTTTCTACACGGTAAGAGAATTTATTGATTGATTATAAATCATCAATTCTTTCACCTATAGAAAGCTACATTATGAGCAAGCAATGTAGACTATATTTTTTCATCATTTTCGATATTTTTCTACCCGTATGACGCCGGGTCGAATCGCTAGTAGAGTATAAGATAAACAAGGTACTCATAAACCGTCAAAAACTTTAGAAATATAGAAGTCGTATTTATGTAAATAAAACGTACACTGGTTTTAATGTTATAATTATAAAATTAATCCGATTGTTGAGCAATCTACAACATTGTCTGTTACGCTTAGCGAATCCCAATTACAGTTCACTCACATGTGCATGTCTCTAAAAGGATTAGTCTGTCTGTCCGTCCGTCGCGTCGCGTCACATAGGCTCAGTGTAACTAACATTAATTCGACAGAACCGTTTCTGTTACAAAGCGTGCATGAACAAGAACTTGGTAAATTAAACCTGCTTATTAATATATGCTTGAGAATTAAAACTAGATTTATATTTGTATAAAGATGAACAGCAAGTAGGATGTATCTACGAATTTTTTTTATGCAACTTAGAATAGCAAACAAGCTGACGGCCCACCTGATGGAAAGTGGTAACCGTCGGCTATAGACATGGGTAGTACCATAGACTTAACAGAGTATACTGTTTCGCCCATGATACCTCCGATGCGTTGCCATTCCTG